TTGTCAAGGTATGCCAATTAACAGCAATATTAAATAAGTCATGATCTTTTTTAGTTCCTACTTGCACTGATAGTACCAAGAATGCAAATGAAACTGACAAAGATTGTGGTGGTGGATTGTGTCCTAAATGCGCGGATAATTTAGGGTGCCAACAAAATAATGATTGTATAAGCGATGTTTGCCAACAGGCTATTTGTCGAGGTATGCCAATTAAGAGTAATATTAAATAAGACATTGTGTATTCTAGTTCCTACTTGTAACGATAATACGAAGAATGGAAATGAAACTGACAAAGATTGTGGTGGTGGCTTATGTCCAAAATGCGCAGATAATTTAGGGTGCCAACAAAATAATGACTGTATAAGCGATGTTTGCCAACAGGATGTTTGTCAAGGTATGCCAATTAAGAGTAATATTAAATAATATATCATCTCTTTTAGTTCCTACTTGTACTGATATTACCAAGAATGGAAATGAAACTGATAAAGACTGTGGTGGTGGCTTATGTCCGAAATGCGCGGATAATTTAGGGTGCCAACAAAATAATGACTGTGTAAGCGATGTTTGCCAACAGGATATTTGTCAAGGTATGCCAATTAAGAGTAATATTAAATAATACATCATCTCTTTTAGTTCGTACTTGCACCGATAATACCAAGAATGGAAACGAAACTGACAAAGATTGTGGTGGTGGATTATGTCCAAAATGCGCAGATAATTTAGAGTGCCAACTAAATAGTGACTGTATAAGCGATGTTTGCCAACAGGATATTTGTCAAGGTATGCCAATGACCCTTATTCCTAATTCGCTTGCTGGCCCCCATCAGGGATAAAAATGGGGCCATATTTATCTTACTTGTCACTAAGGGCGGTTTTTTCTTTCTTTCATATATCTTCTACTTTTTTTCAATCACTTTGTTGAGGAATTTTAGTTTTAGTTACTGAATAACAGGTTGCTTTTGTCGCTCAGAAGTTAATGTATTTATTTAAAGTCGGTTTGATGTACCATACAAAGAAAAAGTAAAATAAGAGGCCTCAGTTACCTGCAATAGTTCAAAAACCATAGTAAAAATACTATAAGACCGAAAACCAGTGTAGTATCTGATGTTAATGTCATCATTACGAAATCTTTGAATACATATAGTCGTTTCAAATAATCTTTGTTCAAATAATGTCAGTTTTTCAAACGAATAAGAAATGATTCAAGTCGATGTCAGTTTGCGTTGAAATAGAGCGTGTTAAATGAGTAGGTTGTGTATAGGTGGTTAAATTCATAGGTAAAGCATCACGTTTTAATTATTTCGATTGTTTGAAAACGCTACTATTTTTTTGTTTTTCGAAGTTGTAATGAATGAAGATGAGTCAAAATGACTGCTGCAAACTCTTTGATTTGATACATCTTTCAAATCAGAACGATTAAGTAATGTAAGTCACACTTGTTGAAAGTTTTTGTCAGCTGGAAATCGATGAAGAGGAAAATCATTAGATTGAGTCTCTTGCTTGAAGTAAGCGACATACCGCTTCACCATTTTGTCTATGAATGTTATTCTTAAACTCGAAACAACATATTGTAGAGCAAAATAACATAATCTCATCACTATCATATAGATAATAAATAGCGTTGTGTATTCATTAAGGAAAATGAAAATATTATCGATTACAAACCAATTAGTGATTGATGGTTGTCGGTGTTTGATGTTTTTATCTCATTAGAAAAAGTAACAAGGAATAGATAGCGAAAGTGGAGAAGAGGAACATATAGAAAAATTAATAAGAAGGAATAGATAGAAAAAGTCATCTTGATTATTGCTACGCATTCACGTTTATTGATTGTAATGACTATGTCATCTTTATCATCACATACCATCATTCCTATTGTTAATTATAAAAGACCTTTCTGTGCTGGTTTGGGTTCAATCGCCCAATATTTTTCATCTGTGCTTGCTACCGAGGGAAACCTCGATCGAGGTGCACTAAAATGGCAATCTTCTTTCTAAAGATCATTTTGTCCATTCTATCACCATTGATCGACGTTACATCAAAAGGATCACATCAGCCAAATGTCGTGCTTAAATGATCGTCAACGAAATGATTGAACAGCAGTAGAAGATACATGAAAGAAAACAAAAACCGACCTTAGTGACAAGTACGATAAGTGCGGCCCTTTTTTATGCTTCTTCGGGCCAACAAGTGAATTCTGAATAAGGCTCATTAAGAGCAATATCAAATAATACTTCGTATGTTATAGTTCCTACTTGTACCGATAATACCAAGAATGGAAATGAAACTGATAAAGACTGTGGTGGTGGATTGTGCCCTAAATGCGCGGATACTTTAGGGTGCCAACAAAATAATGACTGTATAAGCGATGTTTGCCAACAAGATACTTGTCAAGGTATGCCAATTAAGAGTAATATTCAGTAAGACATTGTGTATTGCAGTTCCTACTTGCACCGATAATACCAAGAATGCAAATGAAACTGACAAAGATTGTGGTGGTGGATTGTGTCCTAAATGCGCAGATAATTTAGGGTGCCAACAAAATAACGACTGTATCAGTGACGTTTGCCAACAGGATATTTGTCAAGGTATGCCAATTAAGAGTAATATTAAATAAGACATGATCTCCTTTAGTTCCTATTTGCACCGATAATACCAAGAATGGAAATGAAACTGATAAAGACTGTGGTGGTGGATTGTGTCCAAAATGCACAGACAATTTAGGGTGTCAACAAAATAATGACTGTATAAGCGATGTTTGCCAACAGGATATTTGTCAAGGTATGCCAATTGAGAGTAATATTTAATAATGCATCGTGTATTGTAGTTCCTATTTGTACCGATAATACCAAAAATGGAAATGAAACTGATAAAGATTGTGGTGGTGGATTGTGTCCAAAATGCACAGATAATTTAGGGTGTCAACAAAATAATGACTGCATAAGCGATGTTTGCCAAAAGGATATTTGTCAAGGTATGCCAATTAAGAGTTATATTTGTGACGATTATCAGATAGAACAAGTGTTAATACTGATAGAATTATGCTTTATTGAGCTTCTTCATATCATCAATCGTCAACTGTGACGATTAATGATAGAAGGTATGTTAGTGCAGATGGAGTTACACTTTATTATAATCCTTCATATGATACAATCGCCTCACTTGCATACATAGCACACGTTTATATACATGAGTAGAACAAGCGATGATGAAAAGAAAGAAGATGAGGTCAAGGAGAGAACAATGTAAGAATGAACAAGTAATGAGGCCAATGAGAGAACAGATATAGAAGAACAATAGAGTAACAATACATATCATATACAAGTGAATGGTGATATAGGATGAGAAGCGCATTACGACAGAAAGAGAACAAGGTTCAATCAATCTTAGATAAATGTAAGAGTAACACGATTATGCACACTGTATTATTGATTATACAAGAAGACACTGAGAAAGTAAAGATATCATATAGGATAATATGCCTATTGGCAGAATATTAAATAAGACATCATCTGTTTTAGTTCCTACTTGTACCGATAACACGAAGAATGGAAATGAAACTGATAAAGATTGTGGTGGTGGGTTATGTCCAAAATGCGCAGACAATTTAGGATGCCAACAAAATAATGACTGTATAAGCGATGTTTGCCAACAAGATATTTGTCAAGGTATGCGAATTAAGAGTAATATTAAATAAGACATTGTGTATTGTAGTTCCTATTTGTACTGATAATGCCAAGAATGGAAATGAAACTGACAAAGATTGTGGTGGTGGATTGTGTCCAAAATGCGCAGACAATTTAGGATGTCAACAAAATAATGATTGCATAAGCGATGTTTGCCAACAGAATATTTGTCAAGGTATGCCAATTAAGAGTAATATTAAATAAGACATTGTGTATTGTAGTTCCTATTTGTACTGATAATACCAAGAATGGAAATGAAACTGACAAAGATTGTGGTGGTGGATTGTGTCCTAAATGCGCGGATAATTTAGGATGCCAACAAAATAATGATTGTATAAGCGATGTTTGCCAACAGGATATTTGTCAAGGTATGTGAATTAAGAGTAATATTAAATAAGACATTGTGTATTGTAGTTCCTATTTGTACTGATAATGCCAAGAATGGAAATGAAACTGACAAAGATTGTGGTGGTGCATTGTGTCCTAAATGCGTAGATAATTTAGGATGTCAACAAAATAATGACTGTGTAAGCGATGTTTGCCAACAGGATATTTGTCAAGGTATGCCAATTAAGAGTAATATTAAATAAGACATGATCTCTTTTAGTTCCTATTTGCACCGATAATACCAAAAATGGAAATGAAACTGACAAAGATTGTGGTGGTGGATTGTGTCCAAAATGTGCCGATAATTTAGGATGCCAACAAAATAATGATTGTGTAAGCGATGTTTGCCAACAGGATATTTGTCAAGGTATGCGAATTAAGAGTAATATTAAATAAGACATGATCTCTTTTAGTTCCTACTTGCACTGATAATACGAAGAATGGAAATGAAACTGACAAAGATTGTGGTGGTGGATTGTGTCCTAAATGCGCAGATAATTTAGGATGTCAACAAAACAATGACTGTGTAAGCGATGTTTGTCAACAGAATATTTGTCAAGGTATGCGAATTAAGAGTAATATTAAATAAGACATTCTGTATTGTAGTTCCAACTTGTGCCGATAATACCAAGAATGGAAATGAAACTGACAAAGACTGTGGTGGTGGATTGTGTCCAAAATGTGCCGATAATTTAGGATGCCAACAAAATAATGACTGTATAAGCGATGTTTGCCAACAGAATATTTGTCAAGGTATGCCAATTAAGAGTAATATTAAATAAGACATCATCTCTTTTAGTTCCTATTTGTACCGATAATACCAAAAATGGAAATGAAACTGACAAAGATTGTGGTGGTGGATTGTGTCCAAAATGCACAGATAATTTAGGATGTCAACAAAATAATGACTGTATAAGCGATGTTTGCCAACAGGCTATTTGTCAAGGTATACCATTTAAGAGTAATATTAAATAATACATGATCTCTTTTAGTTCCTATTTGTACCGATAATACCAAAAATGGAAATGAAACTGACAAAGATTGTGGTGGTGGATTGTGTCCTAAATGCGCGGATAATTTAGGATGTCAACAAAATAATGACTGTATAAGCGATGTTTGCCAACAGAATATTTGTCAAGGTATGCCAATTAAGAGTAATATTAAATAAGACATTGTGTATTGTAGTTCCTATTTGTACTGATAATACCAAGAATGCAAATGAAACTGACAAAGACTGTGGTGGTGGATTGTGTCCAAAATGCGCCGATACTTTAGGATGTCAACAAAATAATGACTGTATAAGCGATGTTTGCCAACAGAATATTTGTCAAGGTATGCCAATGGAGAGTAATATTTAATAAGACATCATCTCTTTTAGTTCCTATTTGTACCGATAATACCAAGAATGCAAATGAGACTGACAAAGATTGTGGTGGTGGATTGTGTCCTAAATGCACAGATAATTTAGGGTGTCAACAAAATAATGACTGTATAAGCGATGTTTGCCAACAGAATATTTGTCAAGGTATGCCAATTAAGAGTAATATTAAATAAGACATTGTGTATTGTAGTTCCTATTTGTACTGATAATACCAAGAATGCAAATGAAACTGACAAAGACTGTGGTGGTGGATTGTGTCCAAAATGCGCCGATAATTTAGGGTGCCAACAAAATAATGACTGTATAAGCGATGTTTGCCAACAGGATATTTGTCAAGGTATGCCAATTAACAGCAATATTAAATAAGTCATGATCTTTTTTAGTTCCTACTTGCACTGATAGTACCAAGAATGCAAATGAAACTGACAAAGATTGTGGTGGTGGATTGTGTCCAAAATGCATAGATAATTTAGGGTGCCAACAAAATAATGATTGTATAAGCGATGTTTGCCAACAGGCTATTTGTCAAGGTATGCCAATTCAGAGTAATATTGAATAAGATATCATTGCTTTTAGTTCCTATTTGTACCGATAATACCAAGAATGGAAATGAAACTGACAAAGATTGTGGTGGTGGATTGTGTCCTAAATGCGCCGATAATTTAGGATGCCAACAAAATAATGACTGTATAAGCGATGTTTGCCAACAGAATATTTGTCAAGGTATGTGAATTAAGAGTAATATTAAATCATACGTAGGTCATTTCAAAAGTAGTGGCGGAGGTATAATAATTCTTTAAATGAGGCTTTGAGAATTTGTTGTTCTATGGAGTTTGATAGAGAAAAGAAAACTCTATTTTTCTGTCGTGTTTGATCATACTTGGGCTAATTCTATAATAATAGAATTTCGATAAGCCTTGTTTCGGCGTGATGTAAGCTGCTTATACTATATCATATTGTGTCTCCGATATGTGTAACCTTATTATCATTATCTGTGTTCTTTCTCTCTCGGTTTTTTTCATGTTCTTCAGGATGTAACGGTATATACATATTAAAAAAATATGCAAAGTTTAATGACGTTAGAACAAGAAAAAATATAGAGTTCACTATGTTTTTATTTCATAAGATGTTCAGAGTAGTTGCCGCAGCTATTCACACAGAGTCGCATACGTCGAACTCTGTTTTCGAATGTTTTTCTATACTCTTCTGTATTTAAGGGGTTCATAAAGTCTGATACAGCCTGATGCAGCGATTTTGAATCACTTTGATCGGATAGTTTTTGTTTGATTAAATCGAATATCCAGAAATCGTGAGTTGCCAAATATGGAGAATTACGTGAATGTGTAATTATTGTACTACCTTTTGAGTCAGGGTAACTCAACACTTCTTTATGGACACACAGTTGTCCATTATGATAATGAAGTTTAATACCTTGTACACGACATGTAGGACGCTGCTCCTTGATATTGTTAATGAGAGGTTCCAAACAATTGTCGATGTAATACTGATGATTGATAGTTTGCCCCCGTTCTACGTGACGAATTAAAGGCGGACCAATTGTTTTGAAAAAAATGGTCATTAATGTTTTTGGAGCATAAGGACTTTGTCGTACTACTGTAGGTGGAGGGTCATCCTTTGAAACCCAAGCCGCATTTGACAATTTTTGACCAATTTCTTTATGGTAAAACCATGACTTATCACCTGTTATAACATCACATAATCGCCATCCGCCTAATTCGGATTTTCCTAAATTTTCTTTGCATATTCGAACTCGTTAGGCCTTTTGTAAACCAGTAAGCTGCTTAGGTATATAACGAGCAGTGAGTTTCTTCAGATTTAGATGATCAGATATTATTCGGTGAAGAGTGCCACGGCTGAGACCAGTTTGAACTTCTACTTCATGTACTGTAATATGAGAATGAGCTTTAATAACACTAATAACTTACTCGATATTTCATGATGTTATCTTGGTTACAGCTCTACCAGATTTTTCTTCATCCTCAACATCTTCTCTACCTTCACGAAACCGTTTACGCCATCTTTCTACTGTTCTAAGTGTAGGAGGTTGATCACCAAAAACACTAAGTAATTCATCTTAAATAATTCTGGCTAGAATATTAAGTGCAGTACCCACTTTGATACAGAAACGAAATTTTTCTTTATCCATATTCATAAAAGTGAAAAATGCTCTGATTTCTCCCAATTGTGTTGTTTTATCTTTCTTAAAACACAATTATATACTATATTTATATCCAACGCAAAGAAAGCATGTGCATTTTAACATGCGTGTACGGACGGTGAGATCCTAAACAAGACGAAAAAAAAAACAAAAACCAAAAGAGAGAGAAAGAACAAGATAATGATAACAAGGTTACACATATCCAACACAAACTATGGTATAGTACAACCAGACCACATCCTACTGAAACAAGGCTTATTCAAATTCTATCCTTATAGAATTAGTCTAAGTGTGATCAAATACGATAGAAAAATAGGTATTTCGTTTCTCTATCAAACTGTATAGAAACAAATTCTCAAAGCCTCATTTAAAGAATTACTATACCTCCGCCACTACTTTTGAAATGAGAAAAGCACATTGTCTATTGTAGTTCCTACCTGTACCGATAATACCAAAAATGGAAATGAAACTGACAAAGATTGCGGTGGTGGATTGTGTCCAAAATGCACAGATAATTTAGGATGTCAACAAAATAATGATTGTGTAAGCGATGTTTGCCAACAGGATATTTGTCAAGGTATGCCAATGAAGAGTAATATTAAATAAGACATCATCTCTTTCAGTTCCTACTTGCACCGATAATACAAAGAATGGAAATGAAACTGACAAAGATTGCGGTGGTGGATTGTGTCCAAAATGCACAGATAATTTAGGATGTCAACAAAATAATGACTGCATAAGCGATGTTTGCCAACAAGATACTTGTCGAGGTATGCCAATAAAGAGTAATATTAAATAAGACATCATCTCTTTCAGTTCCTATCTGTACCGATAATACCAAAAATGGAAATGAAACTGACAAAGATTGTGGTGGTGGATTGTGTCCTAAATGCGCAGATAATTTAGGATGTCAACAAAATAATGACTGTGTAAGCGATGTTTGTCAACAGAATACTTGTCAAGGTATGCCAATGGAGAGTAATATTAAATAACACATGATCTCTTTTAGTTCCTATCTGTACCGATAATACCAAAAATGGAAATGAAACTGACAAAGATTGTGGTGGTGGATTGTGTCCAAAATGCACAGATAATTTAGGGTGCCAACAAAATAATGACTGTATAAGCGATGTTTGTCAACAGAATATTTGTCAAGGTATGCCAATGGAGAGAAATATTTAATACTGCATCGTGTATTCTAGTTCCTACTTGTACCGATAATACCAAGAATGGAAATGAAACTGACAAAGATTGCGGTGGTGGATTGTGTCCAAAATGTACAGATAATTCAGGATGTCAACAAAATAATGACTGCATAAGCGAGGTTTGCCAACAGAATATTTGTCAAGGTATGCCAATTAAGAGTAATATTAAATAAGACATGATCTCTTTTAGTTCCTATCTGTACCGATAATACCAAGAATGGAAATGAAACTGACAAAGATTGTGGTGGTGGATTGTGTCCAAAATGTACAGATAATTTAGGATGTCAACAAAATAATGACTGTATAAGCGATGTTTGCCAACAAGATATTTGTCAAGGTATGCCAACGGAGAGTAATATTTAATAATGCATCGTGTATTCTAGTTCCTACTTGTACCGATAATACGAAGAATGGAAATGAAACTGACAAAGATTGTGGTGGTGGATTGTGTCCAAAATGTACAGACAATTTAGGATGCCAACAAAATAATGACTGTATAAGCGATGTTTGCCAACAGAATATTTGTCAAGGTATGTGAATTAAGAGTAATATTAAATAAGACATCATCTCTTTTAGTTCCTATTTGTACCGATAATACCAAAAATGGAAATGAAACTGACAAAGATTGTGGTGGTGGATTGTGTCCTAAATGCGCAGATAATTTAGGATGTCAACAAAACAATGACTGTGTAAGCGATGTTTGTCAACAGAATATTTGTCAGGGTATGCGATTTAAGAGTAATTTTTAATAAGACATTGTGTATTGTAGTTCCAACGTGTACCGATAATGCCAAGAATGGAAATGAAACTGATAAAGACTGTGGTGGTGGATTGTGTCCAAAATGCACAGATAATTTAGGGTGCCAACAAAATAATGACTGTGTAAGCGATGTTTGCCAACAAGATATTTGTCAAGGTACGCCAATAAAGAGTAATATTAAATAAGACATCATCTCTTTTAGTTCCTATTTGTACCGATAATACCAAAAATGGAAATGAAACTGACAAAGATTGTGGTGGTGGATTGTGTCCAAAATGCGTAGATAATTTAGGATGCCAACAAAATAATGATTGTATAAGCGATGTCTGCCAACAGAATATTTGTCTAGGTATGCGAATTAAGAGTAATATTAAATAAGACATTGTGTATTGTAGTTCCTACGTGTACGGATAATGCCAAGAATGGAAATGAAACTGACAAAGACTGTGGTGGTGGATTGTGTCCAAAATGCACAGATAATTTAGGGTGCCAACAAAATAATGACTGTGTAAGCGATGCTTGTCAACAGAATATTTGTCAAGGTATGCCAATTACGAGTAATATTTAATAATGCATCGTGTATTCTAGTTCCTACTTGTACCGATAATACGAAGAATGGAAATGAAACTGACAAAGACTGTGGTGGTGGATTGTGTCCAAAATGCACAGATAATTTAGGATGCCAACAAAATAATGATTGTATAAGCGATGTTTGCCAACAGAATATTTGTCAAGGTATGCCAAGGGAGAGTAATATTAAATAAGACATGATCTCTTTTAGTTCCTATTTGTACCGATAATACCAAAAATGGAAATGAAACTGACAAAGACTGTGGTGGTGGATTGTGTCCAAAATGCATAGATAATTTAGCGTGCCAACAGAATAATGATTGTGTAAGCGATGTTTGCCAACAGAATATTTGTCAAGGTATGCCAAGGGAGAGTAATATTTAATAAGACATCATCTCTTTTAGTTCCTATTTGTACCGATAATACCAAAAATGGAAATGAAACTGACAAAGATTGTGGTGGTGGATTGTGTCCAAAATGCACAGATAATTTAGCGTGCCAACAGAATAATGATTGTGTAAGCGATGTTTGTCAACAGAATATTTGTCAAGGTATGCCAATGGAGAGTAATATTTAATAAGACATGATCTCATTTAGTGCCTACTTGCACCGATAATACGAAGAATGGAAATGAAACTGACAAAGACTGTGGTGGTGGATTGTGTCCAAAATGCACAGATAATTTAGGATGTCAACAAAATAATGACTGTATAAGCGATGTTTGCCAACAGAATATTTGTCAAGGTATGCCAATGGAGAGTAATATTTAATAAGACATCATCTCTTTTAGTTCCTATTTGTACCGATAATACCAAAAATGGAAATGAAACTGACAAAGACTGTGGTGGTGGATTGTGTCCAAAATGCATTGATAATTTAGCGTGCCAACAAAATAATGATTGTGTAAGCGATGTTTGCCAACAGAATATTTGTCAAGGTATGCCAAGGGAGAGTAATATTTAATAAGACATCATCTCTTTTAGTTCCTATTTGTACCGACAATACCAAAAATGGAAATGAAACTGACAAAGACTGTGGTGGTGGATTGTGTCCAAAATGCGTAGATAATTTAGGATGCCAACAAAATAATGATTGTATAAGTGATGTTTGCCAACAGAATATTTGTCAAGGTATGCGAATTAAGAGTAATATTTAATAAGACATTGTGTATTGTAGTTCCTACGTGTACCGATAATGCCAAGAATGGAAATGAAACTGATAAAGACTGTGGTGGTAGATTGTGTCCAAAATGCATAGATAATTTAGGATGTCAACAAAATAATGACTGTATAAGCGATGTTTGCCAACAGGATATTTGTCAAGGTATGCGAATTAAGAGTAATATTGAATAATACATCATCTCTTTTAGTTCCTATTTGTACCGATAATACCAAAAATGGAAATGAAACTGACAAAGATTGTGGTGGTGGATTGTGTCCAAAATGCGCGGATAATTTCGGATGCCAACAAAATAATGATTGTATAAGCGATGTGTGCCGACAGGATATTTGTCAAGGTATGTCAATTAAGAGTAATATTAAATAATACATCGTTTCTTTTAGTTCCTACTTGCACTGATAATACCAAAAATGGAAATGAAACGGACAAAGATTGTGGTGGTGGTTTATGTCCAAAATGCACAGATAATTTAGGATGCCAACAAAATAATGATTGTATAAGCGATGTTTGCCAACAGAATATTTGTCAAGGTATGCCAATTAAGAGTAATATTAAAAAAGACATTGTGTGTTGTAGTTCCTACGTGTACCGATAATGCCAAGAATGGAAATGAAACTGATAAAGACTGTGGTGGTGGATTGTGTCCAAAATGCATGGATAATTTAGGATGTCAACAAAATAATGACTGTATAAGCGATGTTTGCCAACAAGATATTTGTCAAGGTATGCCAAGTAAGAGTAATATTAAATAAGACATCATCTCTTTTAGTTCCTATCTGTACCGATAATACCAAAAATGGAAATGAAACTGACAAAGATTGTGGTGGTGGAACATGTCCGAAATGTCTTGATGGTTTGCAGTGCCAACAGCGAAATGACTGTGTTAGTGATGTTTGCATAAACGGAACTTGTCAAGGTATGCGAGTGAAGGATGATATATAATGATTCATCGTTTATTGTAGTTCCTACTTGCACCGATAATGCGAAAAATGGATTGGAAAGTGACATAGACTGTGGTGGTGAATTCTGTCCACGATGCCCAGATACTTGGCAATGCAATTTTAATTGGGACTGTATGAGTGGCGTTTGCCTCGGGGAAATATGTCAAGGTAGAGGAGTTTGAAGCATTTAGAAATAGTTCTTGGTCTGTTTTAGTTCCTACTTGTGCTGATAAGGTGAGGAATGGAAACGAGACTGACAACGATTGTGGTGGTGGAATGTGTCCAAAATGTGCGGATAATTTGAGCTGCAGACAACATAATGACTGTATCAGTGATGTGTGTACATCTTATGTTTGTCAAGGTATATTGGTTTAGGGTTATATAGAATAATTCGTCGTCTGTTTTAGCTCCTACGTGTACTGATCAGGTGATGAATGGAAATGAAACTGACGAAGACTGTGGTGGAGGGTGTCCAAAATGTGCAGATTTGTTGCACTGTATATTAGCTTCTGATTGCATGAGTGGTGTTTGTACAAATGGAATTTGTCAAGGTATATCATTTTAGGGCTATATAAAATAATTTATTATCTGTTGTAGTTCACACTTGTACTGATAAGGTGAAGAATGGAAATGAAACTGACATAGACTGTGGTGGTGGAGTGTGTGACAAATGTGACAATGCGCAGTCGTGTCGTATTGATGCAGATTGTACCAGTGATCAATGTAGAGAAAACGTTTGCCAACGTAAGTTCTATGAGAATTATGATTGCGTGTTAGATCTAAGGTTGGAAAGCGTCGTGATGTAATATGCGTCTATAGTTACGAAAGTATTGTAGACTATTCTCATTTTCGGCTAATTGTCTTAGATTGCTGAAGTTATTGCTAGTAGTATGATTTCTGGGGAGCATTGTATCGTGAAACATTGTTTCTCAGTGTTTCTATTGGATGTGATCCGTGGAAAGACACTAGTTTCTAGATTCGCATAGCATTATAGTCTACCTGGTAGATAATGATTGTTGTGCATGATAAAGTTGCTCAGGTAGCCTGAGACAGTTCAAGCTGAGTAGTGCTTGAATCATGAGAAATATACGCTCGCAAAAAAATAGTTAGAGTCGGTTTTTCGAAGATATTGTCACTAAAAAAACATATTTGTTTAATAATAATTACATATTCTGAAGGTCCACGGAGTTTTCTGTCATCCTGGATATTTACATGTTAGTTTGTACCAATGTGTCAGCAAAAACGTTTGAGTTCAATCAAGACACTCTCATGTGTAGATTCCCACAGATTTGATTTTTTTTTATCACCAAAATTAGTTTTTTCAATTTTTCATTACTATAGAATTCTGTTTTTTTTTAAAACCAATTATAGATTCCGATAGAGCTTGAAATTCTCTATCATCCTAGATGTTTCTTTATTTTCTTACATTCATATATAGCGCTGTAATTTAAAATTAATAAATACAACCGTACTCAACAAGTACAAAAAATCCAAATTTTTTCCGATATTTTTTTTCATTCTTTTAAAATTATAACTTTCAAAGAAAATAAATACTATAAAAGAAATTATAGCATATGATAGGCTATGAAAGTCTCTTTCGTTCTTGCACTATTGCATTATCCTGAGCTCTTTTTCCTTATTTAATAAACTACGACCACGTCCTTCTCGTTCATTCACATCATTTGTTTGACGATATAATCGTAAAATATTAAAGACCGTTGCGTTTGAACAATTATTGGCAGAAGCTATTTCAGCTGGGGTCAATCCTTGATCAAAACGTAATGAAATTATTCGTCATCGATCTCTAATCAATAGATGACTACTCATATCTAGTGAATTGTATTAAATGTGAAGCAAAAACTAAATGAAAAAGAGCTTGATCTACGTGTATATTGGCACTAGTTATTCAGATTATTAAGAACAAAATGAAGACGTGTGTGTATTTATATGTGAATGGGATCATATTATCCGTTGAACAATAGTACAAAGAATGATGGCCACACCAGACGTTGAGCAATAGTATAAAGAACAATTATCATGGCATATGCAGAAAACAAGATTATTACAAGATGACATGGTCATCAGGTGTTACTTTGATAACAGTATAAATGACTATCTATCCAAACTTACGCGTTATACGAAAAAATAATTCTTTTTAGAACTTTACGAAGAATTATGTCTGTATGATGTGCAGAATGAAAGAGACTTTCATAGGCTATCATATGATATAATTTCTTTTATAGTATTTATTTTCTTTGAAAGTTATAATTTTAAAAGAATGAAAAAAAAATATCGGAAAAAATTTGGATTTTTTCTACTTGTTGAGTACGGTTGCATTTATTAATTTTAAATTACAGCGCTATATATGAATGTAAGAAAATAAAGAAATATCTAGGATGATAGAGAATTTCAAGCTCTATCGGAATCTATAATTGGTTTTAAAAAAAAACAGAATTCTATAGTAATGAAAAATTGAAAAAACTAATTTTGGTGATAAAAAAAAATCAAATCTGTGGGAATCTAGACATGAGAGTGTCTTGATTGCACCCAAACTTTTTTGCTGATATATTGGTACAAACTAAAATGTAAATATACCGGATGATAGAAAACTCCGTGGACCTTCAGAATATGTAATTATTATTAAACAAATATGTTTTTTAGTGACAATATCTTCGAAAAACCGACTCTAACTATTTTTTCCGGGCGTATATATCTTAGTAGTTGTATGTTCGGTTTCATAGAAGTAGGACATGAGTTTTGATATAATGCGGAAGATTTTTATTGTGGTTGTTGAAAATTTATGAAAGAGGTGCTTATTTGTTCATTGTTTGCTGATAATCAATTTTCTCCGTTTGATAAATTGTTGTTAGAGTGCAAATGTGAAAGGTAATGAAATAGTGTGACGACCATGGAAATAAACCGACAGTAGTAGTTGTCCATTGAATTATGAATTAGATAGCTCTAAAGAATACCTTAGATCGCTTAAGAATCCAATGTGCGACGGAAATTAAATATTGCATGGCTAAGAGAACAGAACCAAATGATACAGTTTCATGAGGGTTTTTCATAAACTTTCATAAAAGTGCTTGGAAAACTATTTGTTCGTTGGCAATCGCTATCTAGGAATGGCGTTCGTTCATAAACAGAAATAAGATTTATCTATTGTCAAAACTATATCGTGGCTTTAACGATCGATTTCTAACATCAAACGAGTAAATTATTCTTCCTATGTTTTGTTTTTATAGTATGTTCCTTGAACAGTTTCACAAACGGTGACTTCGAAATGGGTACTTCCTTTGGTTGGACAATCGGTGGTGGCTCGCGAGCTGATACTGATTCATCATTAATAAATCCAGCAGACTATTTACCAGGTGGTCCACGTTATGTTGCAAACATTGCAACCTCGCATTCAAGTATTGTTACTAATGGAACTGATCCAAATATTAAAACGTTGATGTCAAATATCGTATATCGTGGTAAGTATTCGTGGCGTATCGAAGACTTAACAAATGGTGGGTATGCATCAGTCCTTAGTCAGGAAATCAATAACTATTACTGCTCTGACATTTACTTTGCCTGGTTGGCCGTTTTGGAAAATGGTGGCCACACTGCACCAGAGTCGGCTCTCATGATAATTGAACTGAAAGACTTGACCACTAATGAGGTACTACTCTTGCGCCGATACAATGCGGGAGTAGGTGGAGTAGGAATCGATACTCGTTTTCTACAATCTGGTTCATTCTTCTATACTCCATCTTGGCAAATTGAGCAATTGTCCTTCAATAGCACTCGCGTAGGTCATAACTTCCGTTTAATTGTTTTCGCAGCAGACTGCAGTCCAGCTGGTCACCAAGGTCGCGTCTATCTTGACGGTTTTGGTGGTATTAAGCCCTAGCCAACCATTATGAACTCAAACATTGGCATTGACTTGAAAACATTTCTGTTAATTACATCTTTGAAAAATTTTTAATCTTTTTATACATTATAGCTCTTCTCTTTATGTTTGCCGAAGCTTTTGTATTTTAATTCAAATTTTCATTTCTCAATATTTATATTTTTCTTGCTCAATCTTTCATATATTTTTATTCCAGCTTTCAAATTTTTATATACTTCAATAAAGTACTTTTCTTAGTTTTGCTTTATTCTAAACTATGTAGTTCTGAAATGAAATCATGGAATATCTTGAAATTCAGATATGACTATAAGGAACTAAGATTGATTTCAGCCTTTTAGACGTATTTCAATAGATAGTCTTTCTCAAATTACTTACGTCTTACGAAAATAAAATCATTCAAAATTGATCTGTTCAATCTTCTATTTGAGAGTAATATTAGTTTCATTGGAAGAGAAACTACGGAGACATTATGGCGACTATGGCTATCTTATGTATATTAGTGATTGTTTCTTGGAATGTTTCTATTGATAGAATTTTAGTGCCACTTTTCCACGCCTCTGTTTTGACAATCATTTAATGATTGAGTCTTCGATGAATGAAAATCAAAGAAGTTTTCTCATTGTATATTAGTCAACTTATAGAGAGAGAGAGAGCATCATGAGTATCAATCTTATTACGGACAAACTATTCGCACAATCAAACCAACTGATGGCAAAAAAATCGATTAAAAGTCTAATTCGCAAGAGTGGCATCGTTGGAAAGAGCGCAAAAAAAACTGTCTATTATCCTAGAATATAAGCGTGGTATATGGTGTAATTCCTAGCAGTAATTTCTAAAATACTATGACCTGCAGGATTAACTTTTTGTTGTCTCTGCATATTTTTTATTTCGTTCCTTCAGCTTATGACATGAACCATTTTGAACTGATCGTATCCAAGAAAAAAAAAGGATGATTATTAGTGACGAAAATAACATACAACCTATAATTATACACGTAGCAACTTTAGATTGGCTAAAGAAAACGATGGTGAATATTAGTACTACAAACAGCATAACAATTCACACACGCAAAAGCTTTACATAGACGTAAAATTTGAAGCAAAAAAATATACCAAAAATAAAAATTTCATTTGACAACCAATTAAAGATGCAGTTGGTATATCAAAATGATATAATGCATGTATTATTGGAATTATTCTAATATCAACACAAAGTATATTAAATATGGCCATCGATAATAAATAAAATGAACAAGCGTTTTTACATTGTTCAGCTTGACAAAAAAAAGAACAATAATAGCTAATAAATTACCAAGATTTCCAAATACAATATATGTACTCATACTATATCGTGTTAACGTATATTGAACAAATACTAAATAAGGTGCTGACGTTGCCTTTCATATTGTTTAAGAAGAAAAGAAAAGCAAATGAATGATGAACAGTAGAAGGTGCCACTCTTATTTATATTTAAACAACAAAATATGAGATGTAGGATGAACTGTTATCAACATATAATTCTATACTTTATTAACTTCTTTTTATGTTGTTTTTTCTTAGAAATAGTATATCTTATCAATGAGTCATCATTAAATTATTTCAACTTGAATGATGATTGTCAATTGAATTCTAATATGCATGTTCATTCTTTCTGTCTAGTCTAATAATTGTGAGCAACAAAGATATTTCCTAGATCCATAGAAATAGTTCGCATGTTGGCTCCTTTTTGCTCGTTCGTCAAGTCTGTAACATACAACACTGGAAATGCTTCCAAACGGGATAGTTAATGAGAGAGAAGAATTTTTAAAGATTATCTGTTTTCAATTTATATGATTTCTGTATTTGTTAGGTTTTTTTTCTCGAAATAATATGGTTATGTATTAGCATATAACCATCAGTATAATGCAATATCAAAAAACCTAGATAAAAACCATGACAGACTGTCGAAAAAGAAAATTGTTTGAATATTAGAAAATATTAGTAATAAATCAAGTCACAGAAATGATTTTCTTTATCTTGACATTAATTTATTCTATTAAATTAAAAATATTTTACTATCATTTCATCTAAATATCATTCGCAACAAAACAAACTTCATAGTGAGATAAAAATTATATGATTCATGTTCACTTTAACCATATCATAGAACAGACGAGAAAAATTGCTTCAAAGAACTATTGATTCTGAGCCGATTTCAATGAAAAAAAAGATATTGGACTTTGCCCATGTTTAGTATGAATATAGAGTATTCATGTCTGTAACAAGAATACTTTTACCTACATCTGACATTAAAGCAGTTTGTACGAAATGATTGTAATTGCTTTAACAGAAAGGTACTGATGTAGATGAATATGAAGAATTTTTCATATTATTTCAATCAGTAATCATATTCAAACTCGCATATATCCTCTACTATTCGTTCATATCTGATGTAGATACGAAAAATATTCTGTATGAATAATAGCAATGTAGTCATATATTAAACAACCATTTCATTACTCGTACACAAGTTGATTTTTCTCAATAAAAAAAGGTACAATTGATATTCATATATAGTTTATTAAAGCGAGTTTCATTTTTTTGTTGTATTCCTAACTAAATGAAAAAAAAAGAAAATATCAAGTCATTATGTTTTTCATGAAATATGATTTTTAATGATTAAATTTATTTTCAATGTCATTCTTTTTCTTGTTCAACGCCATCTTAACTTGTTTTTGTTAACAGCCATATTTTACGCTCTCCCGCTGTTGATGACGTTGTTGGAGAAAATCCAACATTTTGAAATGTTCCGATAATATGTGCTGGTGGATCAATACATTGAACACCTAGTTCATGATTACATAATTTTTCATTTGAACATGATTCTTGTAAAACTCGAATAAGTTCTGGATGAATATTGTAACTTGAAACACCCGTACTATGAACAATCGTCGGTCCTGAATTTTCTTCAGGTATCTTACATGAAACTGCTAATGTTGTATAAAGTGGTAAAGACATGTTCGTTGTTGCTTTAAATATTTAATTAGTTGAACCTTGAAAAGAAAAGTATATGAAATCAATTATATATTTTTACGTGTGAGTGTACCTAGATCAAATATGAAATCTAAAATATTTGAGTAAAAATACAAAAGAAACAAATATTTTTAGACTAATTCTTTTTTTTTTTAGAATCGAGAAATCTGCTTTCATGCATCCGATAATGCCTTTAATTATTATGTCTACAGTAAATAATGATGGTAAACTATCATAATTTAATTTGTATAGTGAAAGATGGTTTTGATTAAGTACATTATTTGCAGCTCAATGTTTCAGATTTCAATCAGACATTACCGAACATATCTGAGAACAATTAAAGATAAATTGTTGAAAATATAGTTCTCACGTTTTCTTTATGCAGAAAACTAAGACCTTTATGAGGTATATATAGAATCAAGATTTTTAATTTAAAAAGGTTTTAGCTATCGGACTGAAACTAGCGCCGAAATTTAGAAACACGACTAAGATATGTGTATGAATTATCGTACTAGATTTTTATTATATTTTCACTGTGAACTGAATCATGACCGAATGGCAAGTGATTATTTCAAGTACGTAGGAGCGCATTTATATTGTAATTTTTTTTCTTAATTTCACGAAAAAATACTTCCTTAACTGTCTATGATTTTCAGAAACAGAGACGATCGCAAATAGATTATACAAAGTTTAAGTTGTCTCAACGGGGACATTCAATTAGAAAATGATAATACACTAGAATGAAGAAAATTGTCGAATAACGGTTTGAGTTTTATTATTTATCATCTAAATCTATGTCAAATAAAAATTTTTTGTGAAAAGTTTCTCTCTGATAGATGTTGATGAGTTTGTTACAAAAATTCAATATGAAAACTCACGAATGTTTGTTTTTTCTATAAATTTTAATTGTAGTTTTAATTTAAAAGCTGTACGTCTGGAAAATTAAAGATTTTGATTAGATATATGTAAGAAGAGTTTTAGTCTTTCAGGTCTTAAAAAAAGGAAGGAGAGAACACAGTAGTGGACGAAAACCTGATCGACGGCGACTTTTATTACTGCAAATGGAAAATGGCATTTGGATCAAATATCCAGCTTTCTTCATGGCGTGAAACACTAGTACTGTAGTATGAATATTTATTTATCTAAGGCAAAATACATGAAGCATATGATAGGAAAAAGTGTTTGAAGAGAACAGAAAAATGGGCTAAATCTTATCATACACACATATACAGATATACATATATGCAATGGCGATGGAACAATAAGAGAAAAATAAAGAAACAGTTTGATTCAGAGATAAAATAATATCTAAGAATAGAAGAAGCCCTTGAAGAGAATAGAAAAAAATGGTCTAAACCTAATCTCATCAATATATATATATATATATATATAGGTCCCAATATAGCGATAATGCAACAAAAAAACAACAGCAGAGAAACAATTTGTTTCAGGGGACAAAAAATATTTACGTATGGAAGAAGTACTTGGAGAAAACAGAAAAATTTCTCCAATCTAACCGCATATACATGCATACTCATATATATATATAATGATGATGGATCGATGAGACACCAACGAAGAAATGGTTTCTTTCGGAGAAAAACTCGTTTTTTAATGATTGGTATAAGGAGGAAATATACGTAACCAATGTCTTATTGAAAGTCGTTTTGATATTTTTCTAAAAATAGTTGGTTAAATATTCTCCGAAGAAAGCTAGTCAATTTTTGTTATAGAGGATTATTTATTTGTATACTCGTCGTTATTTTCACTTATTTGATGAATTGAAATGAATAGAGGGAATCAGAATTGGTGAATTAAGAATGTATTAGCTTCTAAATTGATTGAAATTTGTAAATTTCCATTTTTGTATGAAAACAACAAGGAGAAAGAAAATACATTATAACATATGTCACGCTCCAATAAATTTGTTAGTTACAAAAACTGTTTAGTCGATTTCAAGAGAGTTATTCTTTAGTTTCTAAGTAAAAAGTCATTTCAAGCATTTACTTTTCATCCATCTGGGCAGAGCATATTGATCATTTCGGTATTTTTTGGGAATAGAACACTCACACCTATGACTGCAGAAATCAATTATGAACTTTATATGATAGACAACATAATTGAACGCGATGATTAAAATGTGCAAGTATTCACATATTTTATCTTAAATTAAACGTTACGGTAGCTATTTGATATATTGTTTGGTTTCTTAAGTTATTTTCTTTTCAATAGCTACAGTTTCAGACGATTTTATAATGATTATTTTGATGTATTAAGCGTCTGGTTCTATGGTTGATGCCTGATTGGAATACTCAATTATTTGACTACTTGATAATGACGTGATATCTACTGCTTCTTTTGTCACACATTGATACTAGCAAATACATGCCATTTAAAAACTTTACAATCATTATTCGGCTTATTCAGAATATTGACACGTATTTTGATAATGATATCCAACCAAAGAATGATAATATAGCGTGATGCTTTAAAGAAAAAAGTAAGGCTTAATGCAACAAGTGGGACTTATCGACTTGCTTTGGGGTGTGGGATGTGGGTGCGCGTGTAGATAAAGAGAACACCCACATCTATGCCCACACCCACATCCATAATCATCAACAACATGAATCGTATACAATTATACAAACTCAAAGATCATTAAATTTCAACAGCTAATACTTCAAGAAGAAAGAACCATTTTCTGTAAGGTCATAGAAAGTTACTCTAAGTTTTCTAACATTACCGATAGAGTTAGTTTATCGTATATTCGATCGAATATCTGTAAACGCATGATTACAATCATGCATTGCTATCATCTATATCAAGTAAACACTCCTCTTTTTTCCATAACATGATATATCTCATGTCAATCTTCATTTTATTAATAAGAACTTCTAAAAATAGTTCGAACTAATTTTTATGAAATATATATACGTATATTTAGGACATTGGTTACACTCGTATTTTTAATCTAGATACTGATTATACTAGACCGCTCTGGCAAACAAATCGATATTGAAGGTGCACAATATCTTGCTCACGCTCGTCAACACAATCGAATAACCATTAACCTACCTCTCACATTCATATGCTAACACTTTTCACATAGACACTAATCACATTAGATTTCTCCTGCAATGGAATCGAAGATCAAAGAGCAGTATATTTTGCCAATGCTTTCAAACAAATTTAGCTAGCTATTAATCTTCTTTTTGTTATTTTATCCTTCTTGTATTATTCGCCTGGACACTTATCACAATAGATCTATCTGATAACAAATTAGATGTCTAGAGGAACATACTAATTAAAGCAATACTCGAAATAGACACGAGATTGATATGAGACGCCTAATAGTTATAATGGTAAAGCGATAGACACATAAAAGCAACACAACTTTTACTCAACAATCAGTTCTTAGTTTTATATTGAACAAATATACAGGATGATTATTTATAAGCTATGAGTTGTGGGTGTGGGTGTAGTGTGGTTGTGGATGCGAATGTCTCTTATCAACACCCATCCATTCACTCACATCCACACCCTATATTTACAATCTGTCAATTTCTTCGACTTCCCACTACCGATATCAAAATATTGCCATAAAGTAATCGACTAGTCATTAAATGAAATTGAATGGTATTTTGTTATGCCTTCTATTTTCATGTTTGGTAAAATATCTTTGAGCTCATCAACAGCAACAACTGATGTTTTACAACCAGTTAAATTGCCAAAAGATTCATCAAGTGCTTCTTTGATGGATTTTGCATTTATCAAGTTGAAATGTGGATGTGGGTATTAACTTGTTTTTCCGAACATCTATGTCCCACTCACGCACTCACACTTCACGCTTACACCCACATCCCACACCGACACTGACACTCACACCCTCACCCCCACCTGCACCCACACCACACACCCTTTTCTCTAAGAATAAGTTTATTGATTGTCATTCGAAGCGATGAAATTTAATCATAATACCATCAAATAAATAGATTAGTTGATTTCGATTTTAGATTATTGTTGATTCTTTGCACATGACTTTTCTCAAACAACTTAGTCTTTACCATTGTGAACTGGAAAAGAATCCAGCTTTATTGTGTCATGCAGAATCCGAAGAACCTGTAATGAATATCACTCATTGGACTGGTTATATTGATGGACCAGAAGAAACACCATTTGTTGGTGGAAGATTTTATCTCAATATTGACTTTCCAGCAGCATTTCCATTCAAACCATCACATATTCGTTTTATTAGACCAATTTATCATCCAAATATTAGTACAAAATGTGAAATATATTTAGATATTCTTTATTCTCAATGGTCTCCAGCATTAAGTATTCGTGCTCTCTTAATATCATTATGTTCATTATTAATAGATCCCAATGTTGAATATGGATTGAATAGAAACGCGTTGAAGCTCTATCAAATAGATAAGCAAAAATATGAAGAAATAGCAAGGGAATGAACAATAAAGCATGCTGCTAATCAATAAAGCCTCAAGTGATCGAGATTTTCTAAAATATCAATACGATTTCAGCGAACTGTTCGTTTTCTATATGAACAAGTTTTTCGATCATCGATATGATGACTCACGTTTTATTGAAAAGCATTTATTCAATTAACTTCCTCTTTTTGTTCAGTTGACTTCATACTTCAAAGCAGGAAAAGCTTTCATCATAGCAATAATCAAGAATTGTTTGCTTTTTTTCAATTAAAAATGTATTCTATTGATAAAATGTCTATCGAATTGTGACAGAAAGAAATGAGAGGCAAGAATGATTCAATAGAAGAAGCAATATTATTCGATATGAGCAGATTTGTGCATTCTCTTTACTTATGATGAACGTGATGCTAAGATCACATTTTTGATATGATCGAAATCTCAAAATTATTGAAAGTGATGATGAGAGAATTTTATTTTTTTCTCATTTTTACTTCAACTGTTCATCTTTCTCTCAAGATAGTGCTTTGAAATGATTCATAT